GCCAGCCTCAGTGATTAAGTACCCCTGGGTTCAATCCCCAGTACCACAAAAAAAAAAAAAAGAAAGAAAGAAAAGAAAAAAATTTCATTGACTCATAATATTCTAAAGGTAAAATTTTTTATGTCAATGTTTATACAACTTAGCATTTTTACATAATGAGTTTTTCTTAAGGAAAAATGTTCTAATCATATCTAAAAATTATTCATTAACTAATGTATCTTTTTCTGAAGCACATAAAAGGCACATTTGATAGGTGTAAATATTTCTTCCTAAGCTGGTTACAGTGGTAACTAAGCAGGTAGAAAATGAAAGTCAAAAAAGTTATCTACCACAACAGCACTATAAATTATGTTATTTATTTGGCTACTTATCAGCTACCAGGATTAAAAGTTACTATGGAAAATAACTGTGTTTAATAAAATTTCCTTTTTGGTACCTGAAACTATACGTATGCATCTTTTTAATTGAGTTTTATCTTCTAATGTTTTATAAAATGTTCAGAATGTGATGACAAAGACTTCTGACTCTTAAGATTAATATAAGGCAAAGCTTCCCCAAAAGAAAAATGGACAAATTACACAAGATTTGATTATTAGTGTTTCAGTACTCTTCCAAATATTACATAACTTATTTTAATATAATTAATATTATTTTAATGTAACTAATGACATAATAAACTATTTCTCTTGGATAAATGTCTCTGAAAAAAAATGTTAATCCTAATGTCAAATGCAAAGAGTCTACAAATCCACTAACTCAGGATACAAAAAGATAAAAAGATAGTTTATGATTTTTTTCTCATCAATATTTTACAAATTTGGCTGTAAAAAAAAAACTAGTACATGAGCACTTTATTTCTCCATAAACTTTTATATTTATTTCCATATTTATAACAAAGTGCAAATTTTTCAGCAATGCATAAGTCTATAGTATTACATCTGTCTACAACCTAAAAACAGTTACAGGAGATTTCAGTCTGCATTACCTGAAAATTTTTTAATATTCTCATACTAAACGCTATGATTTTGCAAAGAAAAATTATTGGAAGTGTTTAATTTACTCTTATGAATTCTGCTGACAAATCTATGCAGATTTTATCTGCATGACACATTCATCCCTGAAATTTTACATAATTATTTTAGTATAACTGGATTTAGTTCCAATTCAAACATCATTCAACAACTGAGCAACTGACACACTGTTAAGCTCTATCCTACCACTTTTAAACAATTTCAACTATAACCCACAATAATTTAGTTGGTTTATATGATGATTCAATACATTATAAAAGAAATATGTGTCACAAAACAATATTTATTCTTACTAATTGCCATGAACTCTGTCATTTTATTTTTTATTTAATTTTTAAACACTGCTTATAACCCACTAAGTTGATTTTATGAGCCACTAATGGGTCACAACCTACTATTTCAAACACATAATTACACTCTATAAGCATGTAAGGATATAAAAAGGAAGGGTGGCAATAACAAAATTTGAACACCTGGATCTGGTCTGAAATCAGATAAACCCTATGATCATTACAGAGTTACATAAACCTTCAATTTTATTTTAGCTAAAGATAGTAGAACTCATGCCACTTAATTTCTTCTAAAGTTCTACCAAAAAATCAGAGATACTATATTAGTCATGAAAGAGCAATACTTAAAATACAAAGCTAAAATAAGATAAAAAGGTGAATTCCCACTGAAAATTCTGGAATTGGCTATTTGAAGACATAGAATTTGAGCATAAATTTGAAGCATTAGATGGACTTCAACAGGAGCAGAGGAAGAGAAAAGGGACCAGTATTAAAGGCAAAATGTAGACAAGTATAGAGACTGCTCAAGAATAGAGGATATTACATTGGGGCTGAAATGCAGTATCTGTGGAAGAGTACAATATTTCCAGCCCTGTCATTATTTATTTTGCCAAATGCTATATTTAAAACACTACTAACCATTTCCTCCACTTTTTTTTTTTTTTAACTTTGTGGTACTGGGGTTTGAACTCTATGCCTCACACATACTAGGTATGTGCTCTACCAAGGAATTACACCCCCAACCCTACTGTCCTGTCTTCAGTTTCCATGGCACAGTATCTTGATCTTCTTTCTTACTCTGACCATTTCCATTAGTTTTCTTCTTGGATTCCCCATCTCTGTCTTGTAAGCACATTTGTTTTTATGTTTTAAGCAATACTCAGTTTGATCCTTGTATTTAATGTTATATACAACTAGAGTTAATACTCTTGTTTGATCCTTGTATTTAATGTTATAAAAAACAAGAGTTGGCCAACATTTTCTATAAAAGGCCAGACAGTAAAATACTACTGGTTTGGCAGGCTAAGAGGCAAAAATCAAGTATATTATGTAGGCACTTTATACAATAAGGGAGAAAACAAAATTTCCCTTGTTTTAAATTCAACCACTGATTTGCTCACAATATGCTCAATTCTTCAAGCGATTATTCTCGACAAGTGGCTCAGCGTCTTGAGTTTATTTTCCCTGAACACATTTCTTTGGCTGTTGCAATCAAGCAGGAATTAGATAACTCAACACTGATAAAAATGGCTTTCTTTACTTGGCTAACAAAAGAACTACTCAGAAACTTACTATGGTTATTTTTTATTTTTGTGAAGAAATTATGCTATGGTAGATATTCTGTCTTAAATTTTGTACATTTTCTGATGACGACTTTCCTATGAATTGGGAAGGTGGTGATGAGTGTTTACTCCAACAATGAAGATATTTATTGTATTCTATTAGTATAGCCATAGCATTGCATGGTTGCATAATGAATATAATGTTTTGCCATTTAATTCATTAAAATATTAATTCACGCTCCCTGTGCCTTATCTTGATGTGACAGGTATGCGCTATTAGTAAATAATAAAATATGATACAGCAATATGTATAGCACTCAAAATGTTATCAAATAAAATATTACTTTACCTATGTCACTGAAATCTGTAGACAATATATAGATCAATTATCACCTGTATTCAAGCTCTTATTATCTCTCATATGAATATTATAAAACTCTCCTAATCTCCTTGTCTCTAGTTTTGCCCCTGAAATTCATAAGTTGCCAGAATGTTCCATGTAAAATGTAAAACTGATTATCCTACTCTCCTTGAAATTAGAATAAAATCTAATCCTCAGGCATGACCTATACATTGGAAGCCTCTCCCCCCTAGCTGTACACCTTCTTTCCCCAGGAATATATTCCTCTCTCACCCCTAGCTACTCTATTCTAATCACACTAGCCTTCCCTCTCATGCCTCAGACAATCCTTGTCCTTTCCTGCCATAAACCGTTCTACAGTACTAAAACAGCAGTTTTCAAACTGTGCTATGAGTGTTCTCTAAATAACAATAAATGAAGGAGGAAGGCAGGAGATGAGTAAGGGCAGTTCCACTGCTATAGGCTTTACTGTCTTAGCTTTCAGGTATAATGTCATTTTTTTTTTAAACCACACACACTAGAGTTCCATGACAAAATACAAGCATGTGTATGCACACACACATACTGAAAAACATGGTAGTAATAGTCTAATTTGGCTGAGTGCAGTGGCACATGCTTGCAATCCCAGCAGCTTGGGAGGCTGAGGTAGAAAGATCGTGAGTTCAAAGCCAGCCTCAGCAACAGTGAGGTGCTAATAAGCAACTCAGTGAGACTCTGTCTCTAAATAAAATAGGGTTGGGGATGTGGCTCAGTGGGTGAGTGCCCCTGAGTTCAATCCCCAGTATGCCCCATCCCAAAAAAAGTCTAATTTGCTTAGCAAAACATATCAGGTACCTACATGACGTAACTTCCTCATCCTCCCACCTCTAATTCCATCTTTCCATCAATTCAGATGTAATAAGCTACTTCCAATCTCAGAGAGGGCTTTTGTTCACCAAGCCCTCTCTACCTCTTTTACTTCTTCTTGGTTTAGCTAATTCATATGTGTCTGAGAATAATCTTCACAGACTCATCATACCTTTGAATAAATGCAATATTTTCATCAATTGAAGTAATCTGAAAATATTATTTACTTGATTTTAGATTTATCATGTGGTTCCCCTAATGTGAATATAAGAACAGTAAGAAAAAAGATCCTCTGTCTTACTCACTACCACATCTCCAGAATCTAGGGAATAGTGCCCAATATATAGCATACATACATTAATATTCATCAAATGAGTGAAAAATATCCTTTTAATTTTTATATCCCAGTTTCACTGATTGGCACATAACAGGATCTCAACACATGCATGCTAAAAAATAAACCTGGAAATAAAAATTGAGGTCAGAAATGAAAAGCTCTGAATAGCAAGCCAAGGAGTTAAATACTTAATTGTAGTAGATTTAATCTTATTGTTTCTCTCTTCTTTTTATTTATTCTCAATTGTAAAGCCTCTAATAGTTTGATTGTCCTCCATACTCCCAACTTTTGTGAAGCAGTTGAAGTCAATAAAAATGTAGCTCTACTTAGTGAAGCATATGGCCACTTGAAAAATATGTAAAATTTTAGGGACCGGGGTTGTGGCTCAGGGATAGAGCACTTGCCTAGCATGTATGAGGCCTGGGTTTGATCCTCAGCACCACATATCAATAAACAAATACAGTGAAAAATCCACTGGCAATTAAAAAAAATTTTTAAAAAAGAAATACGAAAAATATGTAGAATTTAAAAAGCAACAGAACACTATAAATAAAATAGTGGGACAATCATGAAAGAAAAAATCCTGAACCCTTTTATAGAATTTAACTGACAGAAATTTTAAAAATTTGTATAAAGTTTTGACTTCCTTACTTAAAAGTATAAATAATTTCAATGGACAGGTATCATATCACTGAGAGAAAAAAATTTCATACCAAGTGTTCAACTTATACCTGAAATGCAGTAATTTTTCTATTTAAAATCTACATTTAAATAATGCTCAACAGAAATTAATGCTAAATTCTGTCAACAAAAAATTAATAAGGATCAAAAACACATAAAAAAAATTCTTACTAAGTTATTGTCATCCTGGAAAGCATAGTGCAAAGTTGTAATCCATTTATTGTCTCCATTCACTAACACATCCCGTTCTTCACGAAAACATGCTGTCTGGAAAGGAAAGAAAAAAATTTTAGACAACACTTTAGGTAAAACTAGGAAACAAATTATGCAAACAATGGCTTAATATGCTTATTATACTATTTCTATTCTGGAAAGGAATATTTTCAATATATGGCTTTCAACAAATAACTATTTCAAAACAGCAACTGAGCTACTAGAATACTATACTTAAGAAAATATTTTATATCAAAAATATTGTCATAGTTTAAAACAATCATAAAATGAACGGAATAATTAAGAACCACAGGCCACAATACATTTTAGATAACATAAATGCATTTATTTTGCCACATTTACTTCTGGTCTTTTCAAAGAAATAAGACAAAGTTATAGTCTTCCTACTTCTTCCCATTCCTCTCCTTTCTTCCCTCACGTAAGCAATAAAATGAAGACAATGTACAGACTACCAATCATGTTTTGACCACATATATATATGTCCATAAACAACAAAACTGGATTATTTTTTTAAATTATGTTATAATTTTATCTATCCTTTTGCAAGTTGATTACTTCTTTCTCCAGAATTACTGTTTCCCTTTTTATCTGCTATGAAATTTATTTAGGCAACCCCCAATTATGAAAATATATATCATTTCCAAATTTGCATTACAACAAGGCTGTAATGAGTATATTTGTATAAGTTTCTCTACAGTATACACTTAGAAGTAAAAACATTAGATATAGCAAATTTCAACTTTGCCAAAAATAGCAATTCTCTATATTAATTACCACTGTACCCCAGCATACAAAAGTCCCTTTTCCTCACATCCTCAAATGTACTTGCCATTATTAAAATTAAGTGGTTGCCTATGATGGCTGTCAAATTATGTCTCATTGTTCTTTTAAGTAACATATTCCTAATTACAGGTGCTGATTAATAACTTTATATATATATACACAAATATATACACACTTGCTACCTTAACTTTCTCTTTGAATGTTTACTTTGAATGTCCTTTTTGCACATTTTCCCTAATGAATTGGGTTTTTTCATATTTATTTGTTGAAGTTTTAATTTATTCTGAGAATAAATTTCCACTACTATGAAAATATATCCTAGAGAATCTGAGAAATATATGATTAAAAATAAAAAACAATTTATGTAATACATTATAATTCTATTATACAAAATCTTTAATTTTTTAATTAAAAAGAAAACAAAAAATACTATACCAGAAACTTAAAAAATAAATGAGAGGTAAAATAGAAAGTAAAAGTCTCCTAAGTAATGCCCCCACAATTTCAATTTCCAATTGTGTTCACAAGTCACTACCATTAAGCATACTCAGAAAATTCCTGCATATACAGAAGCCTACACACATGCACATGCATGCACACATGCATACAGACACATTTTATATTCATGTAGTATCTCACCTCTCCCATCGTATTTTTCTTTATAGAAATGAAATCACATTGCACTCTAAGTTGCTTATTTTTCCTAAATAATAATATATTTGAACATCTTTTGATCTTATTACATATAACCCAGCCTAAGTTTTCTGAACAGCTATACCATATTGCATACACACTGCAAATATCATCACAGAGCATGTCTACTTGTAGTAGGTGCAAAGTTATTATTTCTCACAAGATAAATAGTCATGATAAAGAAAACAATCTATAACACTGTGATCCAATTAGCTCAAATATTGCCAGCGTATACCCATAAATTTTATTTGGACAAATAGCATTTCCAAAGCCAGGCATTAAATGGCAACAACAGATAACACCCAAACAAATAAAGTTTAAACCAACTGAAATGGGCAATTTAACCTGTTAATTATGTTATTAAAATCTATAACAGTATGTATTATTCACGTTAGGAAGAAAACAGAATTGCAAGACCTATTTACCAGTAAGTCCTATTTTATAACTGAAGTGATCTGAAGTTATGGCTTACTACTGGCATGGTAGAAAGGTTCTGAAAGTTGTTAGGGCCTAAGAGAAGGACTTCTCCTGGTATGAACTCACAATGACAGACATCAAAAAAATTTTAGGGGGCTGGGGTTGTGGCTCAGTAGTAGGGCGCTTGCCTTGCAGACCTTAGGCACTGGGTTCGATCCTCAGCACCACATAAAAAGAAAAATACATAGATAAAATAAAGATATTATATCCATCTACAACGAAAAAACTAATTTTTTTAATTTTTTAGGCATTCCAGCTAGATTCTAATAACCATTATTTCATTTGATTGATTTCAAACTAAATAAAACTTCAAATATGCTAAACTGTTCAGTAAAAAATAATATTTAAAAATAAAAAAACATACAATAAACTATGACACTAAATTTCAAACATAACAAGACTAGAAAGACAAATGCAACAATCCCTTCTTCCCAATGTACCATGGTTCGATTTCAGCAATTACTTTGTTGATGAATCTTGTTTCATTACACACTCACTCACTCACCACCACCCCTCAGTTCCCTGAGTACACACGTTCAGAAACAATGAAGTTTTTAAAGAAAATCCAAGACATATGATTTTATCCACAAATATTTAGCTATAAAACTATTCTTACTAATGCTTCAGGTGCTGAGTGTCTAAATGTAAAAAAGACAGCCTACTTCTTTTGCTTCTATATCGCATTCTCCTAGTTAGTTATGACAATTGGGAGAGAGGATTCTACTTGCATCTAGTGGATAGAGGCCAAGGATGCTGTTAAATGACCTAAAATGTACAAGCGAGCTTCTACAACAAAGACTTATCCAGCCCCAAATGTCAAAAAAGTTTCCCTGTTGAGAAACCCTGTTTTAGATCAGTACTAACCAAACCATGATGTATGAATAATCTATGGTTCATAAATGTGTTGTGAGGATTCAAATAGTTTAAAGCTATAATAATGTATACTTCAATTATATTTTTTAAAAAACTAAACAAAATATTTTTAAATTTCGCTCCTGTAAAAACAGGATATTTGGGTCTCATCAAATTATCAATCTTGGATATTTGGGTCTCATCAAATTATCAATCTTAGACAGCACATCAAAATTGCATGTATATTTGAAAATCATGTCAAAAAGAGATGTCTATACCCACTAGTTTCTCATTTTTTTAGGAATAAAGACTTCTTCACTCAAAAAATATTACCACAGAAAAATCCTGGATAATAACTGAAAATTTCTCTAATATTTGATGAAGGAAAAGTCAAAATTTTCATTTTCAAAAAATAAGTAAGTAGAATTTTAAATTAAAAATTTCAGAAAATCCAAATATTACATCTTATACAGCATGGCATCATCACATATCTGGCCCCCCCTCATTTTACCATATGTTTGATGATCAAGCCAAATAGGATATTTTATCATTTTAACTTAATTGTCAGTAAAAATGTTGTTTAACATAATAAAGAGAGAATATGATAGCATGAATAATTAGCAAGCTTGTTAAGAAACCGGCACATTTAAATAAATAAAGATATTCTGGTCCAACATTTATAGAAGACAATTTGTTTAAAGCAATAGCTATTAAAATTTAAATGTGGGCTGGGGTTGTAACTCAGTGGTACAGTGCTTGACTAGCATGTGTGAGACGCTGGGTTTGATTCTCAGCACCATATATAAATAAATAAAATAAAGGTCCATCCACAACTTAAAAAAAAAAAAAAATTTAAATGTATCCCCTAACCCCATGCCCAAGAGTTGTAGTGGCAAGGAGTTTAATTTGAGAAGTAGATAAGTTCTAGAAGTCACACAAAATGAAAAATCCCTTCATGTAAAATTTATCCTAAAATCATTTCAATCTTGGTATATGCAAATTTGGAGTAGCAATATTTCTTATTAAGAACACTTCATACTCTCCCTCCCTTTTCTTTTTCTTAAAATTTACATTGCATATATATCTTGGGTAGCACGACTACTTCTCATGTACTATTTTCTTCTGTTGTGACATTTCTCTTTAATACACACAAGCAGAGTTAGTGAAAAAATGTATTAATAGCTTTACTGTTATCTTATTAAGAATTCACACTATGGATAAGCTCACAAAATTACTGCAATATACATGTGTAAAGATTTTTACTACAACATGATTCAAAACAGTAAAAATGAGAAAACACTGTATATTAAGATTCTTACCTCAGCTCTTTTCAGCATTTCCCATTTATTCAAAATTTTCATGGCAAATACCTTATCTGCATTTTTTAGTTTTACTACAGCAACCTAGAAAAGATAAAGGAAATATAACTTTTAAAATATGACATATATATTACTTCTTTCCAGTTATCCATTTTCCTTTTTCCTCTCTGTAAAAAAATAAATGCCAATTATCAATTATTTTAATGCAGCTCAAATCTAAAATCCTAAATTAAACAATGTCAGGTAAAAAAAAAAACAAAAGGTGTATTAGTGAACATATGCCAAACCAATAACTGTACTTATGAACACTGTATCAGTTAGTTATTATATATTATATATTCCTTTCCAAGTTTTCTGCCCTGGAAGTTAAACTCAACATCTACAGTTACTAAGAAATATACCAAAATGTACAACATGAAAGTAATAGATTTTATTAAATAATGCTTGCCAAATTCCAACATGATACTATAGGGTATGCCAGCTGCCAAAACAAATATGTTCTATGGGGATCAAGCAACATGAAAGAAATTGAAAATTATCCTATTTTTCATTCCACATACTCATACGCCACAACCCCCAATCCACAGACACCACACACACACACACACACACACACACACTCTCTCTCTCTCTCTCTCTCCCCCCCCTCCTTCTCCCTCTCCTGCTCCAACAGCAATTAAGACTAACAGTCTATAGTCTATAAACTATAGACTCTACACATCCATTCGAATAATAACACAAAAAGCAAACAGATATTTCTGTACCTTATATTTCACCTATGGATCAAAAAATTCCCAAATACAAATAAATAGGACCCCATTATCATACTTAATAAACTGGTTACGTTTGTTTCTATCTTTCTGTTTCAGTTTGACAATTTCTAAAGGTCCTTCAAATCTGTTGGATTTGTTATGGGGCTAAGGCTAAACTACAGAAAAGGAAGATAAATATTAAGTGACAATGTTTTCAATTATTGAAAGGCAGGAGTGAGGAAGACAAATAATACCTGCTGTGTTTGGATCTTAATTGTCTCCCAAAGGTCCATTTGGTAAAGGTTTGGTCCTCAGCATAGTATTTGTGAAGAGTGTGAAAAGTTTTAAAGAGGTAGGTACTAGTTGGAGGTCTTTAAGTTGTTGGGACTTGCTTTCAAAGGGCTTTGTGGAAACCCATTCGCCTCATTTACCTCTCCTTTCAAGTCCCAGCCATGAGGTAAGCAGTTTTACTCCGCCAGGAGCTTCCCACTATGACGTGCTGCCATCATAGACCCCAAAGCAACAGAGCCTATTGATCATGGAATATTGATTTGAAATCTCCAAAACCATGAATCCCAACAAACCTTTTTCTCTTTGTAAGTTGATTATCTTAAGTATTTTGTTGCAGTAGTGGGAAGCTAACATACTACACTAATATGCGGAAGAGAATAACATACACAGAGATCTTTAAACAGTTCAAAGGGATATTTTCAAGTATAGGTAATAGATTGAAATCCAAGCTGAAAAACTTTTTAAAAATTAATCTTGGTCTGGGGATATAGCTCAGATCATACAGTGCTTGCCTTGCATGCACAAGGCCCTAGGTTCAATTTCCAGCACAACCAAAAATCATCACCATCATCATCATCATCATCATCTCAATAGCAATTATGCACATCAAGAGCATTTAATAAATTTATTTGAATCTGATTGCAATAAAAGTAGTTTATATGATAAGATTAAAATCAGTGCATAATAATGAACATTTCCTGGTTATTGTTTTTAAAAGTATGATGACTATAATTAGTTTTTCATCAATTGAGATGCTGGCGGGGGAAAAAGAGGAAGTATTTCAATTTTAAATACAATCATTTGAGTCTTTAGTCCTACCTGGTCTTATTGGAAGAAATGATGGGTCAGTTAAATTGTTCTCCCAAAAGGTTCACACTTAACACATAACAAGCAAGAAAAAACTTATAGCACTGTCTTACTAAAATCTCTGAAAGGGTGAAAACACAAGGTGAGCTACTCTATAGACTCTGAAATCAATGTTGCACAACTGGGAGTGCACATGGACAGGACAGAAGCATTAAGCTAGACAAGCCTATAGTTAAGTCAGAAAAATAGATGTGAAATGCTATCACATAAGCCCTGTTACTCAAATGTAGGGAAGAAAGATCAGAAGACTCCAACACTTAGGTACCTTCCACTCTTCGTGTCATGACCTGAGAAAAATGTACTCTTAACCCTACATAATTCACCAGTTTTCTATGTGTATGAGTAAATAAGAACCCAAAGGCAATATCAATGATAACATTGGTAGTAGCAGTACCCACTAACATATAAGGAGTGTTGAAATGCCACACATACACTAAGACTTTTAAATAAATCCACAATCCCTTAACCATAATTCTAAAAGTTTTTCATAACTCATTTGGTAGCATGTGGTGACATCAGGCTATTAATATCTTTTACTTTTTATCTCAATTTAATATAAAGAAAAACATGCTTCACTGAAGAAACATGAATACATTTGCTAATGGAATACTGCTCCAAACTGTAAGAGAGTGTTACATAAAATATACATGAATACATGAACTAAATTATCTTTCCAAAATCCAAAAAATACTGGAACCAAAACAATGTATGGGTTATACATCTGTGCAGTAGGAATAATGATGATGACACCTAGCATTTATTGAACATACAAACACTTAGCTAGCATTTATTGCATCTGTTTAGAGGGGTGCAGCAACATCAACTTAGCCAGACTCAAACAGGGTTTGAGTTCTAGTTTTGTCATTAACTGTATATATCTGGGCAAAAAATGTAACCTTTCAAAACTTCGGTTTTGGGGTCAATATAATGAGGTTAATAACAATACATACTTTACATAATTGTAGTAAAGACTAAAATCATCAATACGAGCACAAAGGACTTACCACAGGGTCTGGTATTTCATTAAGTGTTCAGTGAGTATTAGCTATTATGTGTCAGCACTGTGCTAAGCATGTGGCAAACAGTATACCTGTCCTATGGCATATGAAGAGAAAAAAAAAAAAAAAAAACTTCCATGTTTTCAACTGAACTTTCCATGATTTTATATCTATAGAATATACATATACATAGAAATATAGGCCAAAATTCCCTGAATTTAAAATATTTACATATGAATAAAAGGCCACAATAATTCACCATAGTGTGGTTTTCAATAGTAGAAATGGACCACCTTAAACATTCTATAAGAAGAAACTGACTAAATGTCATAGGAGAGTAGAAAATTATTCATATGCTTGAAGAAAATTATTGAAGAACAGTATCTGACAGGGAAAACCTCACAATGTTATATGTAAGAAAGAAGTTTGCTAAAGTTAGCAGACTATGACTTGGTTTTCTACATACACACAAAATAGATACCATCAATTTCTATGTCATATATATATAGAGAGAGAGAGAGAGAAATATAAGCACCAAAATATATTAGATGATCAGCTATTTCTAGGAGAAATGATTTCTATTTCCCTTTCTGTATCTTCTGTATGAAATATACAAAATGTGAAACATGGAATGGGATAGGATGGAATACCACACCTCATGAAATGACCACTAATTATGGAGGTTTTGTAGTGTGACTTATAAAGGCCAACATAAGCCACATTCTACACATCTGTGTGGTAATCAAGAATGTCAGGCTGCTGCATATATACATATCGAAAAATATTTGCAAAACCATCTTAGAACAATTTTATGAGCTACCTAAAAAATTTTCTGGAATGAAGTGTGTGGGTGTAGAAAAATAACAATATAGAAATAAAAGTCTTGAATTATCAAATAGATAACATGATGAAAAATGATTATGACATTTACAAGGTGATAAAACAATGACCTTGCTTTTCTCCTTTAACACTATAAACATTTTCACGTTCATTTCAGCAGAAGAAAACCAAGAAAAAGATGATTCTCTTAGAACTCTAACTTTAGGTCCTATATTTTCAAAAACCATGGCTAACTGACATGTAAGAGGGCAGGATGTTAAAATGTCCTTCTTTAAGGCAAGAGACAGAGTTGGGTGGTGGAGTGGTTGCCCAGCATGCACTAGGCCCAGAGTTCAATCCCTTGTGTTACAAAAAGGGAGGAAAAAAAATGTCATTTCTAGTTTAATATGATCAAAATGAAAAATATATTTAGAATTAACTAGAAAATTTTAAAGTTAACATAAAATAAAGATATATTTGTAAACATTAATATTTAAAGATGCCTTTAAACATTTTGTAGTAAAAGCTACTAGATGCTAGAAAAACTATACACACTTCAGAAATAATGAGTATCTGACAAATGTATGCATATTGGTTGTTAAACACAATTTAAGTATCATCATTTATAGTTACAACCTATAACTTAAGATTGATCATACTACTCTGATAGGATTTCAATATGCAGAAATAGTTGCCATGGAGTTCTGCAAATCTAGTCTGTCTTTGACATCCAAATTCACTATACCTTCTCTGTTCTGTCCCATTCCAAACTATCATCATATCTTGCCTGAATTGTCCTACCTCTCTACTTCTGCCCTTACCCCCCCCCCCCCCAATTTTTTTCCCAATCCTGAAGCCACAGATCCTGTTAAAATCTCCTGCTCCCAAACTTCCAGTGGTTTCCCGTCTCCCTCCAAATCAAAGTCAAAGTCCTTACTATATTTATAAGGCCAACATGTTTGGGCCTTTCAACCTCTCTGACCTCATATTACTCACCCCCTAATTTATTCTATTCCAATCAAAATAGTCACTTTACTCAATCCTACCTCAAGCCCTTAGGTCTGGAAAATTCTATCTCCACAGAGACACATGGCCTGTTCTCTAATTCCCACACTGAAATGATCCCTTGACAGTTTCTATCCCTTTTCTTTGCTTCCTTTTCCCCCTTACTTCTTTATCACTATTAATGAACTATGTATTCACATACTGTGTTTATTGTTTATTCATTCACTAGAATACAAGCTCTATGAGAACAGGGATTTTTATCTCATTTGTTCACTAGTACATGCCTAGTGTCTGAGAATCAATAGGTACTCAATAAACATTTGTTGGATAAATGAATTGTTTTTAATCTTTG